GAGTTCCAAGCTTTCCGCCTTTGCAGCCCGCAGGCAGATCCCATCCCACTAGGCCTCCTGGCATAGGTAGTGAGCCAGTCCACAGTAAATAGCTTCAAACATGTGTGGGACAAGCATAGATCTATACTCAGACCAAAAAGTTAACAAAAACAAAAATCCAAAAAAGAAAACAACTAAAAAAAAAAAAAACCCCAAAAAATGGGCAGATTCAATAGACCATTTGGTCTTTTTTTGCCATCACTTTTCTATGTTTCTATGTTTCCTTCCTCGCAGCCTCACATCTTTCTGTCTCACTCTTCCACGCAACTCTCCCCCACTCCTGCCACTGAGCATACTCCAACACTTTTTAAGGGTGTCCAGCCCCTTTACCAGCCTCTTGTTGGGGATTGGCTAGGACCCCCCATTAGTGCAGCCAGCCACTACTCAGATCCACCCACTGCTTCAATGGCCTTCCTCCAAAAGCCCTAGAGCAGGGGGAAATTCCAGAGGGGCTAAGTCCCGACCACAAATTGACCCATCTTTGGCTATTACACCTGGGCTGCTGCTCAGCTCCTGTCTAACCATTGGAGTCTATCTCCCCCTAGCTAAACTAGAAGGGTGCTACACTTAAAAAAAAAATGTTTTGCTGTTTTATACATTTTGGGGATTTTTGTTAAATGGTGCTAAGTACAGTAAGAATTTCTGACACTTAGCCCAACCTAGTAGCTAAATACAGTATTTTCCACACAAAAAAATGAGGTCTCTGGGGCTGATTTTTGCTTCCCTCTTTTTCAGACACGAGGTTACGCATCTTAGTTCTCAGGCAAGTTGGTGGATGGTGGTATAGAGGGCTCCACAGAGGGAACATGAACTCATGCTGTGTGACCAATGGGCTGTGTAATCAGGATCCATGGCTTCTTCTGGGGATCTTAAAAATAATGTTGGAAGAGCTGTAGGCTACCACTATTGAACCATTGGTTACAGAAACATTTGTGGCTCACGAACGTGGACAGGTTCTTAAAGAAGAAAAAAAATCAGATAGGACTCTCGGTGGTTCTTGAAATGTTTGAGAAGCCTAACATGTAGGCATTGTGATTTTTCTTGAGTTTCTTCTCTCTGGATATCATAGACTGGCACACCTGGAATAGGCTGTTGTAGGAAAAGTGCAGGAGCTGCTATCCCACATGGTTTGCAATTTTCCTTGCTGGTGTGTGCCTTTTCATCGGACTAGTATTTAATCTCCAGATTGAAGGTTAAAGTTTGATAGTTCCAACTCTCCTTGCTCCCCCCATGATTGGTCTGTAAGGAACAATTGGACTTCAGAGAGGCATTGTTTATATTCCTAAATCCAAGAAGTTGGAGTGTGCTCCAGTTGTTCCATAGGGAAGGTGGTGGAGAGTTATGTGTGACTTCTCAGAAACTAGTGAGGGGCACCATTCTTGGAAGAACTTGATTTTTAAAAAGGAGTCCCTGGTCTAAATGTATCTTCTGCGGTCAGTCATAGGGTGGGAAAAAGTGCTTTCACACCATCTGGGTACTGTCTTGGTGGTCTGGTCATGAGTCAGTACTTTGAACAGACCACACAGTGTCAACAGACTTGTTCAACCTTGAACCACCTGTAAAAGACCCACATGCATGGCTTACCTCTTATTAAAAGGTGTCCTGCTTCAAAGGAGATTCTTTCTACCACAGAAAGGGCCTTTAGCAGTATTACCTGCCAGATCACTGACTAGTTATTGGGGAATATTATCCTGCAGTATTGTATACCATATATGGGATCACTGAGCCAGCAGCTTATCGGTTTCTGGTACTAGCTTTAATCTTTCTCTGTGACTGTACCGCTGTTGTAACCCTGTATTGGGGGGGCAGCCAACTCTCTCTCTATGTGCCCAGGTACACACTTCCAGTAAATGGATGATATTCACCTGAGGCCTTCTCTTAGAGCGACCTTTCTCAACCAGCGTTCCTTGGAACCTTAGGGTTCCTTCAGCAATGAGCAATTTCTGTCTCTCCGATAAGGAATCACTTACTACTACTACAACTTCCACTGTCAGACACTCCTATCTCTCCAGCTGTTTTATCCACATCTCCAGTTCTTGGATGGGGAGTAGTTCCATTTCTTCTCCTCACTGCCTGATTCCTGGCAGTGGGGCATTTGAGTTTGATGGCTTTGGTTTTTTTTAGCTTCCTGCACTTCCTGGTCAGTAAACATGACATTTCTGGGGGCTACCATGTACCAGTAGGCTGGGCTTGCTTGGCTACTGGGAACTGGGACTGCTATAGGTGACACTACGCTAAGCTATATTTCCTGACCACTCATACAGAGGCTACCATTACAGTACATTGGTTTTTATACAATTGGCTGATTTGTGTGATACACAAGATACAATGTCTAGTATATAATCAGTTAAAAAATCAAAAAAGTCTCACACATGTGGTATTAGATAAGAAGGAAATGATGCAGCGCTACTCCAAAGCTATATAAATCACATCATATAACCTAATATATACATAATATATATATAAATGCGAAAGCAATATATAAAGTGACACAACGTGCAAAGAACATAAATGTGCCCTGATCCTCCTGCGATCTTCAAATGTCTAACCATGACCTGATCCTCAACGGATCCAGAAGTGAACAAAGTGGATACTAACCCACCACAATGATGGTAATAGCAGAGATATGTAAACCAATACTAAAAAGTATTGTACAAAAGTGAATAGATCCTGAGTGGGATCTGAAGTGATGGTGGTGGATATAAAATGAAAAATAAATAAAATAATAAAAAAATATGTTAAACTAGTCCAAATGGGGACTAATAAGTGATATGTCCAACAATTAGGACTCAAATCACGGAAAATGCATAAACATGCAAGTGTCTATTAAAAGTGCACAAACAATACATAAAAATTAATGAATCCCAAACTCTACATAGTGTTTCCATAAACTAGATATATATCCAATCTGACAATGAACATGCAAAAAACGCATGACCCAAAGCAACAAATATATGTGTGAAAAGTAAAAAAAAATGGTGCTGACAACACTATGTAATCCAGAAAACAAAAAAACACTCGTGCCCGTGGATGGTGAATGTGGGTAACCACAGAAGGGTAGCCGTAAGTAGCCGGATTAGCCGCTCACCTCCTTGCTTCGACCCGCAGGGGTCAAAACACTTTTGGGATCATGGATCCTCCATGCATATGATTCCTGTATCACAGGATACCTCTCCCTGCAACGATCTCCCTCTCAGGGATGTGCGTATTGGTGGCGATATCCTCTCCAGGTATACGGGTAGGGGTGTAAGCCAGTATTGTTTGTGGAGTGATGCTTGGCATAACATTTGCTGGTAAAATACTTGTCAAAGCAGGCAATGGCTTTGGTGCAAATTTTACAGTTCATTATCTTTATTCAGATAGAATACCTTAGTGATCACCAATCACAACACAGAGTACAAGGCAATGTACTCTGTGTTGTGGGTAGGCTGTGAAAAAGTCTCACAATATGAGGTATCGCCATACATGAGAGGAGTAGCAGAATGTGTTTTGGGGTGTAATTCTAAGTGTGTCTATGCTGTGTGTTAGAAATATCTTAAGAATTCAAAACTTGTGTAAAAAATACATATTCATTTTCTTTCCTGAATTTTCCAAAAACATTTGTAAAAAAATGACATTTTCAAAAGACTCACTATGCCTTTCAGAAAATACCTTGGAGTGTTTGCTTTCCAAAATGTGGGCATTTGTTTCTATGGTGCTTCTTGAAAGCTCAAAGTTGCTCCTTAGATTTTGGGCCCCTCTATGCATCTAGGCCATGAAAAAGTCTCACATGTGTGGCATCCCCATACTCTTGAGACATAGTCAAATGTGTTTTTGGGTGACTACTTTGAGAAGAATAAATACATTTAATTTCTTCATTTTCCAAACAAAATAAATGTATAAAAAATAAAATTACACCTTCAAAAACTCACTCTTATTAATTTAATTACCTTGGACTGTCTACTTTCTAAAAAGGGGTCATTTGGGGGGGGGTATTTGTACTGTCCCAGCAGTCAGTACATCAGGACTGGGCTGAAAATTGGCCTGCAAAGGAAGGGGGTAAAAGTGCCTAGTATTTAAGTGGTTAATAAAGACCACATAGATGGGTTTTTGCTAGAAAGCAATATTATAAGCAATAGCATGGATTAACGAAAAGTAAAGTCTTTTTATGAGGAAGTAAGCAAAAACTTAGAAAAAGGAGTGGCTGTAGATATATTATACTTGAACTTTACCCAAAAGGGGGCACCCCCTCCTTGCCCCACTGAGGAGTATTCCTGTCTGTGATTTAACATGCAGACAAGTTTATTGGTTTCCCACCTAGGATGGCCATAGACAAATCCAAGCCCATATGTCTATACTCTGAACATGCTCTAGCTGCTTCTAGCTATACATGGAACTTCAAATTGGGGTTGCTTCTGTCTTTCACTACTAGCAAAGTTTATCTGACCTTGCTGGCCAGTAGTCCATCTACAAATTTTCCTTTCGGCTATCCATTCTTAGCACCCCAGGCAGACCGTCCTACTTAGCCTCTTTCCCCTATAATGTATCTCTGCTGCTATGTCTTGCAGTTACAGTGTATATTGCAGAAAAAATTCTCCACCAAGAAAGCCGGCTCTATGGTCCCTTAATGTTACTGCTTGGCTTTACACTACTTTCAAGTGCTTAAAGTGTTACTAAACCCCGGACCCTGCATTCACTATATCTTGTCTCACACAGTACACACAACATGGAAATTATTTTAGTAAATATAAACTGCTAAATACCTTTTCTCATCAGCAGTTAGAACACTCTTGTGACTTCTATCAGTGTCCGGCTGAGCACTGGTTAATCTTGTAGGAGGAGTTTTCATTCTCCTCTGACTGTCCTATGAAGCTGCATAGCTGCATTACCGCTGACCCTCTGTCTGGACAGTGCTGATTTGCCCTGTGCTAATCACAAGGTACCCTCCCTAGCACTCTCTAGCAATATTCACCAAACTGAACATGTGCAGAGTGTCTCATAGGGCTCTATCCTATCAGTAGATGGATTGGGGACTGTGGAAGAAGGGGAGGATCAGAGAAGAGAGGATGAAACAGCCTTTTTACACAATGTGGAGGATTAACCCCTTAGGTTCTACAGTGCGTAAAACAAGCATGCTTTACTGCATATACAGGCTGATTTTACTGTTATGGGTTAAGTAACTTGCTTGTTAGGGGAATCCTGTTCTTCTTCCGCTAAAAGGTGTAAGGCGACTAGCTGGAGACATTAGGCCACTCCACATGAAACACAATACTCCAGTAGCAATTACATTGGTGTTTTCTGCAGTGGTTGAGTCTCCCTTAGAAGCTGCAGGCTACTGGGATCCTGTCTGGCTGCCTACATGCTGGGACTAACGGTGGAGGATTGGACGCCTAGCTGAAAATCACAGGCCCAGCACTCTCTTCCTCATCACATGTGATCTCTCTGAACTGGTCAGGATGGGAAACAGGGAAACTGACACTGCTCAAAAAAAATTAAAGGAACAATTTTTAATCAGAGTATAGCATCAAGTCAATTAAACTCCTGGCATATTGATCTGGTCAGTTAAGTAGCAGAGGGGATTGTTAATCAGTTTCATCTGCTTTGGTGTTAATAAAATTAACAACCAAAGTAGATGAAACTGATTAACAATCCCCTCTGCACTAGATGGGCAACAATGAGACATCCCCAAAAACAGGAATGGTTTTACAGTGGAGGCCACCAACATTTTTTTCCCTACTCATCTTTTCTGACTTTTTTTCACTAGTTTTGCATTTGACTAGGGGCAGTGTTACTACTGGTAGCATGAGGCGATACCTGGACCCTACAAAGGTTGCACAGGCAGTCCAACTCCTCCAGGATGGCACATCAATACATGCTATTGTCATAAGGTTTGCTGTATCTCCAAGCGCATGGAGGAGATTTCAGGATGCGAACAGTTACTCTAGGAGAGCTGGACAGGGCCGTAGAAGGTCCTTAACCCATCAGCAGGATCGGTATCTGCTCCTTTGTGCAAGGAGGAACAGGATGAGCACTGCCAGAGCCCTACATAATTACCTTCAGCAGGCCACTGTTGTGAATGTCTGTGACCAAACAATCAGAAACAGACTTCATAAGGGTGGCCTGAGGGCCCGACATCCTCTAGTGGGCCCTGTGCTCAATGCCCAGCACCATAGAGCTTGATTGGAATTTGTCATTGGACACCAGAATTGGCAGGTCCACCACTGGCGCCCTGTGCTTTTCACAGATGAGAGCTGGTTCACCTTGAGCACATGTTACAGACGTGAAAGGGTCTGGAGAAGCCATGGAGAACATTATGCTACCTGTAACATCGTTCAGCATGACTGTTTTGGTGGTGGGTCAGTGATGGTCTGGGGAGACATATCCATGGAGGAACGCACAGACCTCTACAGGCTAGACAATGGCACCCTGACTGCCATTAGGTATCGGGATGAAATCCTTGGACAATTGTCAGACCCTACACTGGTGCAGTGGGTCCTGGGTTCCTCCTGCTGCACAACAATGCTCGGCATCATGTGGTGAAAGTATGCAGGAAGTTCCTAGAGGATGAAGGAATTGATATAACTGAATGGCCCCCATGCTCGCCTGACCTAAATCCAATAGAACACCTCTGGGATATCATGTTTCAGTCAATGCGACACTGCCAGGTTTATCCGCAGACTGTCCAGGAGCTCAGTGATGCCCTGGTCCAGATATGGGAGATAAAACCCCAGGACTCCATCCATCGTCTCATTAGGAGCATGCATATAAGCACCTGGGGACCATACAAACTAATGAGGACCAGTTTGAGTTACTGCAGTGAAATTTCAGCAAATTGGACTAGCCTGCTGCCTAATTTTTCACTTTGATTTTCAAGGTGTCTTTGAATTCAGTCCTCTGTAGGTTGATCATTTTAATTTCCATCAAACGATGGGGCATCCTTACATTCCTAACACATTACCCAGTCCATATCAGTATAGATATCCAGCATGATATTTTTCCCCATTGAGATCTGATGTGTTTTCAAAGTCTTCCTTTAATTTTTTTAAGCAGTGTATATTCCCTGGGCATGTCCAGGAGCTCATGGGAGCACCGTGCACATCTTTGACGTACAATACTTTTTTACATATGACTAATTCACCAACAGCAGCAGAACAAAGAATGTTGATTTCTTTCCTGAATGCACAAAATGTAACTGGCTGTTAACATTTACAAGTAATAACACCCAAGATTGTTGATCCAAGGAATATCCAATTGCCCTGGGAATTACAAAATTCAGGAACAAATTTTTTGGTGGCACAAAGTGGACCATGCTCCAAATGTTTTGATCTCTTCTGGATTAACTGTGGGTATATCATTCTTTAAATGGAGGTGTTTAATTAATTAATTAATTAATTTTTTTTTATTGGTTGGACTAGATGGTGTCTTTTTTGAACCTTGCTAATTATGTAACTATGTAAAAATCTGGCACCTTTAGACCCACCTAAACAGGTCACACCCAAGCCATGCCACTGTTGTGCTATTACAGCAATTATATAACATACAGCACAAGATACAGAGTGGGGAGGTCAGGAATAAATCTAATGAACAGCATAGTGTACAGAGTGGGACTGTCAGGATTATATCATATAGAGAACTGCGTAGAGAATGAGACAGTGTGAAATATGTAATGCACAGTGAACAGAGTGAGACAGTCAAAAATATATGAAGCACAGTGTACAGAGCGTACACACTCAGAAAAATACTGTATAACACTTAGTACTGTGTACAGATTGGGACTGTCAGAAATATACACTATATTGCCAAAAGTATTGGGACGCCTGCCTTTACATGTGCATGAACTTTAATTGCATCCCAGTCTTATTCCGTAGGGTTCAATATTGAGTTGGCCGACCCTTTGCAGCTATAACAGCTTCATCTCTTCTGGGAAGGCTGTCCACAAGGTTTAGGAGTGTGTCTATGGGAATGTTTTGACCATTCTTCCAGAGGTCAGGCAATGATGTCGGACAAGGAAGCCTGGCTCTCAGTCTCCGCTCTACGTCATCCCAAAAGTGTTGTGTTGGGTTGAGGTCAGGACTCTGTGCAGGCCAGTCAAGTTCCTTCACCCCAAATGCGCTCATCAATGTCTTTATGGACCTTGCTTTGTGCACTGGTGCGCAGTCATGTTGGAACAGGAAGGAGCCATCCCCAAACTGTTTCGCACAAAGTTGGGAGCATGAAATTGTCCTAAATGTCTTAGTATGCTGACACCTTAAGAATTCCCTTCACTGGAACTAAGAGGCCAAGACCAACCCCTGAAAAACAATCCCACACCATAATTCCCCCTCCACCAAACTTTACACTTGACACAATGCAGTCAGGCAAATACCGTTCTCCTGGCAATCTCCAAAGCCAGACATGTCTATCGGATTGCCAGCCAGAGAAGTGGGATTGGTCACTGCAGAGAACATGTCTCCACTGCTCTAGAGTCAAATAGCCTCATGCTTTACACCACTGCTTCTGACTTTGCATTGCCCTTGGTGATGTAAGGTTTAGATACAGCTGATCGGCCATGGAAACCCATTCCATGAAGCTCTCTACACACTGTTGTTGTGCTAACCTGCATGTTCTGACCCTACTTTGAGGTCTTTAACTATTGACTCTGCAGACAGTTGGCGACAACTGCACACTGTACGCTTCAGCATGCGCTGACCCCGCTCCATCATTTTACGTGGCCTACCAATTCGTGGCTAAGTTGCTGTTGTTCCCAGTTCCTTCCACTGTGTTATACTACCAGTTGACTGTAGAATATTCAGTAGCAAGGAAATGTCACAGATGGATTTATTGCACAGGTGGCAACCTATCACGATACCACGCTTGAATTCACTGAGCTCCTGAGAGCAACCCATTCTTTGACAAATGTTTGTAGAAGCAGTCTGCATGCCTAGGTGCTTGATTTTATAAACCTGTGGCCATGGAGGTGATTGGAACACCTGAGTCCAATTATTTGGAGGGGGGTCCCAATACTTTTGGCAATATAGTGTATAATGAACAGTGTAAAGATTGGGACAGTCAGAAACATATATTGCACAGGGTACAGAGTGGGGCAGTCAGAAATATATAATGCACAGGGTACAGAGTGGGACAGTCAGAAATATATAATGCACAGTGTACAGAGTGGGGCAGTCAGAAATATATAATGCACAGTGTACAGAGTAGGGCAGTCAGAAATATATAATGGACAGTCTACAGAGTGGGGCAGTCAGAAATATATAATGCACAGTGTACAGAGTGGGGCAGTCAGAAATATATAATGCACAGTGTACAGAGTAGGGCAGTCAGAAATATATAATGGACAGTCTACAGAGTGGGGCAGTCAGAAATATATAATGCACAGGGTACAGAGTGGGGCAGTCAGAAATATATAATGCACAGTGTACAGAGTAGGGCAGTCAGAAATATATAATGGACAGTCTACAGAGTGGGGCAGTCAGAAATATATAATGCACAGTGTACAGAGCGGGGCAGTCAGAAATATTTAATGCACAGTGTACGGAGTGGGACAGTCAGAAATGTATAATGCACAGTGTTCAGAGTCGGGCAGTCAGAAATACAGTATATAATGCACAGGGTACAGAGTGGGGCAGTCAGAAGTGTATAATGCACAGTGTACAGAGTGGGCAGTCAGAAATATATAATGCACAGTGTACAGAGTGGGGCAGTCAGAAATATACAATGCACAGTGTACGGAGTGGGGCAGTCAGAAATATATAATGCACAGGGTACAGAGTGGGGCAGTCAGAAATATATAATGCACAGTGTTCAGAGTCAGGCAGTCAGAAATATATAATGCACAGTGTTCAGAGTCAGGCAGTCAGAAATATATAATGCACAGTGTACAGAGCGGGACAGTCAGAAATATATAATGCACAGTGTACGGAGCGGGGCAGTCAGAAATATATAATGTACAGGGTACAGAGCGGGGCAGTCAGAAGTGTATAATGCACAGTGTACAGATTGGGGCAGTCAGAAATATATAATGCACAGTGTACAGAGTGGGGCAGTCAGAAATATATAATGTACAGTGTACGGAGTGGGCAGTCAGAAATATATAATGTACAGTGTACAGAGTGGAGCAGTCAGAAGTGTATAATGCACAGTGTACGGAGTGGGGCAGTCAGAAAATATATAATGTACAGTG